CCCCAAAACCCCAAAACCCCAAAACCCCAACTCTTAGGAGAGCAATTGAAGTTCGATAAATTTTATTTAATAGAAATGGAAGATACTTTTCGGATTGGAGAAAACATGAATCGTCAAATAGTCAGGTAAACTTTTAGAGCTCACATCCCCAATCATGAGAAATTAGTTTTCATATTTTATTTACGACTATTTTTAGCAGTTCTGTATACCTTATTTACGAACAAATATTAATACTAAGAATCCAAAATTTGATAGAAAATCAATGAATCTTTTTAATCGTTAAAGAGCTTAACCTTAAGTGTAATATAGCTCTCTGCTGCTGTATTTATCTACATTCACTGTCTTATTTGAGGGAGTTTCAATCTTTCTGAGATGCCCCAAAAGTTTCATATAAGTATGACAGCAATCAAGTTTTTATTCTTTCAAAATCATAGTTACCATAACATATTCTTCTCTTTCTACGAACTCAATAAAATTTATGATAGCTCTTTATTATCTGTGCTGGCCATGCATCTATCATGCTATTTAGTATTTCCTTAATAGTATCCAGTGAAAGTCTTTAGACTGTAATCACTCAATTTCATTCTGAAACCTCTAGATAATTTAGTTTAGAGAAAGAGATACTGAGAGAAAGCAAAGCTGTGGATGAGAGGTTATGAAGAGACCTGCATTTGAGTATTGTTTCAAATGAGCTAACAGTCCCGACATTAGATGCAGACCCTTACCTTAGTGATAATACTCAAGAACTATGCTTGGAAGGTGACCAGGCACATTATCTAAAATTTATTCAAAAGTTATATCCGCTTAAGCTCTTCAATGTTCATAGAATATCTCTTGAGTGCATCGATAACAAAAATAAGCACTTTGAGGTGTTTATGAAGGATTCATTTCCAATGAGAGTAAACGAGTGCTTGATCATGACTGATTTGGAATATAACAGAAGAATATCTTACTATTTTGACCCAATTATTAGAATAAATCAAAGAGTTCAGAGGAAAATGACTCTCTCAGGATTCAATGTGGGCGAACGTCAGTTAAAGAGATTGATAATCTCTTACAGACATGTTAAAGAATTTGGTCTCCGTTTTTGAGAACTTTCTCTACAGACTGTTCCAGATTTCTCATATTCGTTGAAGGCTACTCAGATAGAAAGCATTGACTTTGAAGGCTCAGAGGGGATTTTTGAAGGAGATAATGAAGGGAACCCAGATGGATTCCAGAATTTAATGATTGGCTTAGCAACTTCTCCTGAGCAAAAGCTAAAGCTTACTCGAATAAAACTCACATTTTGCTCTATAGAACTTAATATGGCACAAGCCATTTGAGAAGAAAGTGGCTTTGACAGAGTAAACATAGAATGCTAATTCCTAAGTCTTTCATAAGTTGCCCAAAATAACTCCTATCCATTTGTATTGTCCATAACGATTTCAATGAGGTAAGACCAAGTTGGGGTTTTGGGGTTTTGGGGTTTTGGGGTTTTGGGG